CACCAGGTGGCTAAAATATCTTCTCAAGAAGCGAAACAGCCAGTAACTGCATTCAGGTTGTTTTTGTAGTATTATTATTGTTATTATTATTATTAGTAGTAGTAGTAGTAATAAGACGATTATTCTGGTCATAAAGTTGACTTGTTGATTTTTTTCACAAATTGTATCTGATGGCTCTTGCTGGAGTTGAAATCAGGTTCTTGTGAATTTTCCAACTCTATCCTCGATAATGTTTCTCATTCTAGTCACGCTGTCGTCTGTCTGGTTAAAATTCTTCCTGTCTTTTAGTAAAGATCTTCGGGACTGAAAGTAAGCGGAACAAAGGTCACCTTTAGATCGGTTGTTTTCAGTTAGTAACCAAGATATATATATATATTTACTCTCTTTTAATTTCGCTCTCTTGTCTGCTGGGACACGAACATCATCACCACCACCATCATCATCACCATCATCTTCTTCACTCCTACAGGATCGCCATATCTCTCCGGCATTCTCTCAGAACCCCCTACCTCTGCTAACCTATCCATATTTCAAGCAATCGGTTATTGGGTCTAAAATTGTCGTCTGCGAGCGAAGTCAAAAGAGAGAGAGAGAAAAAAACGAGATTGAAGTGTACCGCCGAATGGAGGAGATATGGCGAGCTAAGAATCAGTGAGAGAGATGGAAGAGAAAAAGAATGAGTAAGAGGGAGAGAGATTTGAAAAATGAAGGAAAAGGGAGCGAATAAGAAAGGTAAGAAGAAAGAAAAATATAAAGATTCCTTATTTAAAGCCTTTATTCGTGTAGGCAGTTGTCGTCGTCGTCCTTCATATCATCATCATCATCATCATCCTCATCATCATCTATTGCAGTTATGACTGAAATGAAATGTTAATAAAAAGAAAGAAAGAGATGAAGAAGACTGTGGCAGCAGGGAAATAGTGGGTGGTAGATGGTGGTAGTGCTGGTGAGGGAAGTAGATTTCCTGTATTCGCTGTTTCTGATATGTCTGGGTCTCAAGCTTCCCACAGAAACAGGATAACCCGGTGTGTCGTCCGGGACTGGGAGGGAGAAAGAGAGAGAGAACAGAAATCCAGGTTTTTTTTTGTGAACACTAGAAGAGAGAGAGGACCACGATGGGGAAAAGCATTAGATGACGATGAAAAGGGGAAAAAAGGAAAAAAAAAAGGAAGAGTGATAAAGAAAAAAAAAGGAAGAAAAAGGAAGTAGAGGAGGACAGAATGATTGAAAAGAAGGAGCGGGAGGGAAAAAACCAAAAAGAACGAAAGAAGAGGAAGATAGAAAAAAAGAAAGAAAAGGGAAAAAGTAAAGGAAGAAGGGAAGGGAGCATCCTGTTGCCATGAGTCGATTTGGTCAGACGTGAATGGAAATGATATAAAGGTGAATGAGGAGACTTTTTTTAAAGGACTGTGGAAAGCAAATATATATATATATATAATTATTTAGTTTTAATTTAGCGTGGGAGAGAATTTTGGTTGGTTCATTCATAAGTGGTTTGGAAAGCAAGCCACATGGCTGCTTCTCTTCCAAAACTAATACGACATCCCCCACCCCCTGCGCCAATTGCCTACGCTCTTTCCGGGCTTGGGATCAGCCAAAAACAGGGTTAGGTATAGGAGAAGGGAAACAGTGGGCGGTCTAGAAATTTATACGATTGGATATCAAGAATTTAAAGCAAAGAATTGACTGACCGCTGAGGACCTGAGGGTAAAGGAAAAGGATCAAACAAACAATTAAGAAAATCTCGGTAGCAGTCTTTGAGAAGAAAGAGGAAAAACAAAGAACTTGAGAAATATAAAATAAGAGAAAAGCAGGGGGGAAGGAAGAGAGAGAGAAGGGGGGTAGTGAGAGAGATGGCATAAAGCGAAGCTCTTGAAAATGTGGGAAAAAATATGAGAACTTTTGATATATTCATATTTTGTGTGCGCTATGGATTGTATGAATATCATAATTATTCTTGTATAATGCGCACAATTTAAGCACGTGGAACTAGATCAGTCTACCCCAGTGAGCGAAATAAAGGGTTCAGTTCGACATTCCAACCACTTGAAGAAGGCTGAAGTGTACAACGGCCGAAACGTTGTAATAAATATGGCGACAAAGATGAGGACAATAGACCGAATAATGTAAATAATGTACATAATACCTCATCTCAGAAATATAGACAAATAATTCGTATATATATTAAGTACAGCTTAGTCTGCTTTACTGCTGTCTGTGTCAAATAGGGCCATCATGACATTTTCATCTATATTGTCAGCGTTATAGAGGTCTCATTTCTCCTGTGTCTTTCGTTAGATCTCGTAGAATGGCGCTACAGCATCACAGAGAACGTTTTCAAAAGCAACAATTAAAATGGATAGTACATGTAACTCGAAAGAAAATATAGACGTAATCAAGATGTTGACTTTCCACACCACACTAAACAAAAGGTTAGGAAGGAGACACTTTCAAAGAACCATAAATGTTATTGGACTTTAGAAATTTAATTTCCTGAAGCTTACGGCCATATCATGTTGAAACACCGGTTCACGTACGACCACCGAAAATAAGCAATGTCGAACCTGGTCAGTATCTAGATGGGCGACTGCTTTGGAATTCCAAGTGCTGTTACCTTGGATGTGCAGTTGGTGTAATGGATAACGACTGGCAATTGAAAATCGGAGAGCCGAGTTCCAAATACAGTCGCATTCGTTATATTCACTTACGTGCAAATACCATTGGTATACCAAGGTATGAATATACCAAATACCAAGGTATGAATCCGTTTTTTCTCCACCAGCTATGGGTTAATTAGCATAAGTTATATTAGTAAATGATTATTATCTCAAAAAATTCTTACAATCCCAAAATATTTCTGGTTTTAAATAAACTGCAAAGGGTTGATAAGCCGTAAAAACAAATCAATCTGTTTTCCTGAAAAATTGTTTTAAGAGAAAGATTTTCTAAATTTCAACTTGCATTGGCGCTTACTGTTCGGTTAATAAATTTCGAATGTTTCCTTATAAGGTGACGGCTGATCTAACAATTACCATTGAGGACTGCGTTATGTTTTTCTTCTTTTGTGTAAGATGGTCAGCTAGACGTCATGCTCGAAATAATGGACAATAGGGGGATTTGGTTTGCAATAAATAACGCCTGGCCGAGTTTAATATTCATGAGTTGTATCAGGAGTAACTGCTGGCGAACGACTATATTTACCTACGCCCATACCTACGGTAACAAGATGTGACACAAGGTCAGTTTTTATGAGACCAAGATAAAAAACTGTGTAACGAAGAAAGTGCAGCCGTAGTGTTGGAAACACTCTAACCAGGCTTCCTACGTAACTAAGAGGTAGTGAGAACAGATCATACACTTTGATTCACTATGTAATCACTTCCCCATGACCTAGTCACTTGCCTCCTCACGGTGGCGGGATATGACATGCAGTCGTTTTTAATGTTGAGTGTGCGCATGCGTGTATTTATAGGGAAAAGATAAATATTATCCAGTCCACGTGACCACTATCATGTTGGCATTGGTATCCACCAACCCTTTAAGTACTGCTGTGTTGTTGGAATATCCGGAGTCAGGTATCTCTCAAAGTTAATTTCTGCGAGCAGAAACATGTCAGAGAGGAGGAGAATGAATTTCAGCCTGAAGGCCGGTGACTTCTAAATGGTAAAATGTTTTTGGTTGTTTTATATGTCGCGCGCCGGCGTAGTAGTGATGTCTACTTTTGTTTCACACCATTATAGAGAGATAGCCATTCGCTATTGGAATGTTCATATTCTCGTTTCTCCGCGCGTGAGTTTCTATTTACCGCGAGATTTTTATGAACATGCCCGAGTATTTCCTTTTGGGCAAATTCCGTGTTTCAAAACATAATGCAAACTACATAAATCTTTATTTTTAGTTCAACTGAAATCGATGATACATCCTCTCCGAAATTTTTGATACAAGACCCCCGCCCCAACTCTACTACATCTCAATTTTTATAAGGTAGTATTCATATAAAATGCGCATTTTATTGTACCTAATTATCAACAGTAACAGAGTGAATAATTCAACTAGAAAAATTGAAACTAAATACAAATAATATAAGGTATCTAAAATACAAATTAAAGACATGTCATAATAGATCATTCCATCTTAAATAATTAAAGACATGTCATAATAGATCATTCCATCTTAAATAATTAGAGACACGTCATAATAGATCATTTCATCTTAAATAATTAGAGATATATCATAATAAATCATTCCATGTTTTCTGGCAATTTTTAATATCAACTTAAGATTTTTCTTGTTAAATGGTTGGGTAATTTTAACGCATTCAACATTATATAAATGTAGGTAGAAAAAAGCAAATGTTGATAAAATAGCGAGGGTCACAAAGCACCGCCCAGGGGCCCCCAATCAAGCTTGGCGCCCTGTTGTGAGGTGGGTAGTATGCACCGGCTCTGACTACAAGTATAGTGCACCCCAAACTTTTTTTGTGGAAAACATGATTGTTTTCATATTGCTCGTGTATAATGCAACCCCAGCTTCTGAGTAATACTAGCTTACCGCCGTATCACATTGAAACCATACGATTACCTAAGTTAAGCAACGTCGATTCTTGTCAGTACCTAGATGGTTGACCGCTTGGGAATGATAGACGCTGTAAGCTTGGATGTGCGGGTGGTGTAATGTATAATGGCTTGTAATTGTGAATCGGAGACTCGAGTTCCAATTGCAGTTGGGTTTATTATATTCACTTAAGCCCAAATAGGAAAAGTATGAACCCACTTCTTAACCCCCCCACCTTCAGCTATGGGTAAATTAGTAAGACTTGTATCACTAAATCATTACTATTTTTTTAAAAATCTTACAATCTGAAAATATTTTTTGGCTTTAAATAACCTGCAAAGGGTTGATAAACCGTAAAAAAGAATCATTCAATCAATGAATCAATCAATCAATGAGTAATACTAGTCGGCCTACCATAGTCAGATATTGCAATACTGAGCGTCAGCCTGGATATATTTTATAGCAAATAAATGTTTTTTACTCTTTTTGTCCAAATAATACTACTAAATGTAAAGAATATAATAAAGACAATTCATTATAAATAAACAGAGGAAAACAGAATCAGGAACACAATTGAAACATTCGGTATATATATATATATATATATATATATATATATATCAGACAAAAGGGGTGACGTTGGAAAAGCAATATCTCAGCGATGTAAACACGTGCGAACGAAGATGAACTCAAATTGAAGAAAGGAAAAAAAACATTCTTAATTATTCATTTATATCAGGTATTTTTAGAATTTAAGCGGCACACATAGTGAATGACGTTCTGCTATTGATGCAGCAGCAGAAAAAAATCTAGGCTACGGGAGGCACGCTAAAGGAACTTAGCTGTACCGTTAAGGGTTAGCCAAAGATGCCATGAGAATGTAGGCCTAACAGGTAGATTACGGTTACCGAAAATGCATTAATTCTAAAACCTCCAAGAAATGCATGATTTTAACCACTTCGAAAAAAGTACATGTATATAGTGCCTGCCACCCGCTATATTTTGCGTAAAAAAAAAAAACTTGATTATAAACATTATTACAAAATGCATATTATACACGAGAGCTTTTCGTAAATCAAATTTAAGTTTGCGTAATATGTATTGACGTTAGAGTTATTTCCCTTTATTTTGGAACGTTTTCCATCGTCATTTTTCTTTATAGGGCTCAATGAAATTCTCGTGTTTCATCCACTTTAGACTGCGTTGGTGAAAAGTTGTTTAACATTAACAGCAAGAACCGTCTTTTCACAATGTATTTCAATATATGGTGCATTAATTAAAGATAGCAAAATAAAATTAGAGAACAGTTTGAAACCAGGCTCTCGTCCGCCATACACTACCTGCTTTCCTTGTAGTCAACCATAAACCATTTATAATATACACGGGAACTAATTTGTAACTATTTGAGGTATTAAAAATATTCTTTATATATAGCTATTTTTCCCTAAGATTTTTTTTGTGTCTAAATCAGATGAATTATTAGAAAACTGACAGGAGCCTTTTTCCTGCAATTTTCTGCTTACTGTGGAACAGGATCAGCTCACCCAATCACTCTTCTCGATCAGCCATCATAAGTTGCGAATGACAGATATTTACCTAATCACTCTTCTCGATCAGCCATCATAAGTTGCGAATGACAGATATTTACCTAATCACTCTTCTCGATCAGCCATCATAAGTTGCGAATGACAGATATTTACCTAATCACTCTTCTCGATCAGCCATCATAAGTTGCGAATGACAGATATTTACCTAATCACTCTTCTCGATCAGCCATCATAAGTTGCGAATGACAGATATTTACCTAATCACTCTTCTCGATCAGCCATCATAAGTTGCGAATGACAGATATTTACCTAATCACTCTTCTCGATCAGCCATCATAAGTTGCGAATGACAGATATTTACCTAATCACTCTTCTCGATCAGCCATCATAAGTTGCGAATGACAGATATTTACCTAATCACTCTTCTCGATCAGCCATCATAAGTTGCGAATGACAGATATTTACCTAATCACTCTTCTCGATCAGCCATCATAAGTTGCGAATGACAGATATTTACCTAATCACTCTTCTCGATCAGCCATCATAAGTTGCGAATGACAGATATTTACCTAATCACTCTTCTCGATCAGCCATCATAAGTTGCGAATGACAGATATTTTAATCCTAATCAGCCATCATAAGTTGCGAATGACGATATTTACCTAATCAGCCGATCATAAGTTGCGAATGACAGATATTTACCTAATCACTCTTCTCGATCAGCCATCATAAGTTGCGAATGACAGATATTTACCTAATCACTCTTCTCGATCAGCCATCATAAGTTGCGAATGACAGATATTTACCTAATCACTCTTCTCGATCAGCCATCATAAGTTGCGAATGACAGATATTTACCTAATCACTCTTCTCGATCAGCCATCATAAGTTGCGAATGACAGATATTTACCTAATCACTCTTCTCGATCAGCCATCATAAGTTGCGAATGACAGATATTTACCTAATCACTCTTCTCGATCAGCCATCATAAGTTGCGAATGACAGATATTTACAGATAATCACTCTTCTCGATCAGCCATCATAAGTTGCGAATGACAGATATTTACCTAATCACTCTTCTCGATCAGCCATCATAAGTTGCGAATGACAGATATTTACCTAATCACTCTTCTCGATCAGCCATCATAAGTTGCGAATGACAGATATTTACCTAATCACTCTTCTCGATCAGCCATCATAAGTTGCGATATTTACCTAAATGAGTTGCGAATGAGATATTTACCTAATCACTCTTCTCGATCAGCCATCATAAGTTGCGAATGACAGATATTTACCTAATCACTCTTCTCGATCAGCCATCATAAGTTGCGAATGACAGATATTTACCTAATCACTCTTCTCGATCAGCCATCATAAGTTGCGAATGACAGATATTTACCTAATCACTCTTCTCGATCAGCCATCATAAGTTGCGAATGACAGATATTTACCTAATCACTCTTCTCGATCAGCCATCATAAGTTGCGAATGACAGATATTTACCTAATCA